TTNACTTTTTGGTGTCGATTCCGTCAGGTATGTTAATGGATTATGGTCTGTAAAAATTTTGATTTTGGATAGGCAAATCGCTAGGTAAGCGCTTGTACTTTGGTCTAGTAATCGACCCACGTGACCATACGGCGCTCTCTCCTAGGTAAGCACACGTGCTTTGTGCTAGTACTTATTCCACGTGATCATGTAATAGAACAATTTCCATTACAAATGAAATTGAATATTATGATGAGGGCCGAAGTGTGAGCTTTGAAAGTTAGAGACGGGTCAAGAGTAACACCTAGCAGTTTAAAACTTTTTGATATAGACAGGTTTGATCCAACAATTCACATGTTGGAAGGCGGAAAATATTTCGTGTGTTGCTCTGGTGTACCGAAAAACATTATTTCAGGTTTTCGGGCATTTAGTTGAAGGAAATTATGGGAATGCCAGCCCTTTATTGATGAAACACAAGAGTTAAGTCTATTAAGTTGATAAGTGGTATTTTGGTGAGAAATTTCAGATACTTGTATCATCGGCATATTGATGGAAGGATAAGCCATAAAATTGTTAAAGATGTCACATAAGGGACTAGTATAAATAGTGAAGTATTAGTCCTAATACAGAGCCCTAAGGAACTCCGGTAGATAAACAAAAAACAGAAGAGACTTGTGTGCTAAGTTTGATAAATTGGGAGCGGTTTGAAAGAAATGAATTGAACCATGACAGAGCTGTGTCAACGATGCCAAACTACATTTTTAGCCTTTTAATATTAGAAAATTCTATGCGGTGTTTACACCGTGATTTCTTTTCTCGGATAAACTTTTAATTTTTAAATTTTTCGGCGTTCATTATTTACTGTTGTAAAAGAAATTATTAGAGAAAAAGTTTGATGTTTTACGCTGTTGAAGAAAGTCGGCATCACTTTTCGGGTTATGCTAGTTGATTATGTTACTAACAATGCAAGGCTTCTATAATTAAAAACTGAAAAAAAAACAATAAAAAAGCAAGTCACTAACCCAAAAAAATCTGGTAATGATGAAAGCTGAATTCTTAAATAGAGCTGAGATTCAACTATAAGATTTATTAGCCAATTGCGACGTTTCAACAACTTAAAAAGTGCCTAAAAATACACAATAAAAATATTTAAAATAGTGAAATAAATAAATAATAATCATTAAATCCAAAAATATTGAAAATTTTCATTATTGAAATTCTTAAAACGATATGAATGAACTTTCATACTTTTAACATTATAAATATCGATTCTTCATTTCTAACTAGGTAAAACTTGATAATTCTCTCGTTAAACCTCAAAATATTTCAGCTAATTTTTAAAAATATCTTTCAGGCCAATCCGCTCATTACCGATACCACCACGATATATAAACCAACTTGTTTTCCTCTTTTTAACGTATTCTAATTTTCTAATGAAAAAAATGTATTTTTTTTGAACAATTCTCTCAGGCTAATTTAAATTGCTCTTACTTTTTAAGTCTTACTATAATTTCTCCAAAAACAGGCATTTATAGATATATATAGATATATTTCAATTTATAAAGCTTACTCCTGTAACGTGATGTACTGTTCAGGTATTTTGACAACTTGAAACTTCATCTCATCTTGGTCCTGAGTATAACGTAAAACTGCATCCACGCAGCCTTGCGTGCTTTTGAGCGAAAAGCTAGGCCCACCGCTTGTAACTGGTGGTTGTCGACAGGATGGGTGTCCGGATGTTGGATCACTGACTGGCCGCAGCATGGAAATCGCAGAAATGCTCGAGCGTAAAAGGATTGACATCTGCTGCCTTCAGGAAACCCGATGGAAATCGAATGGTGTCTGTCATATCAACTCAGACAAAGAAAAATATAAACTATTCTGGAATGGTCAAAAGACGGCCAAAAATGGTATTAAAAGGATTAATTCCAGTCTCATTGGGATCAAGCTTCGCATGGAAAAACAAACAATGATTATGTTTTTTGCATACGCACCAAAGACAGGCGAATCAGAAGAGATGAAAAATGATTTCTGGACTGCATTCTCTGACACCATCTCAACAATACCAAAATCTGAAACAATCCTGATTGGAAGCGATCTCAATGGCCACGTTGGAGAGAAAACAGATGGTTTTGACAACGTACATGGCGGTTTTGGCTATGGAAAACGGAATGAATATGGCAACCGCATCCTTGAGTTTGCTGATGATCACGGGTTTTGTTTACTGAATACATATTTTAGAAAGAGGTTGGAACATCTCATAACATACAAAAGTGGACTGACCAATGCAAAGAGTGGCTCACTAAAAGCAAAGGTGAACAAATGAAATCTCTGTATCGTATAGCAAAACAAGCAAAGCGTACGAAAAAAGACATAGTTGGTGCCTCATGTATTAAAAATGACAAAAATGAGTTGGTTCTTGAACAAGATGAGATCAAGCTACAGTGGAGAGAATACTTCAACCATCTGTTAAACGAAACAAATCCCATCAATGTTAACTTGGACGCTCCACCCATCGAAGGTCCGATTCCAGACATCACTGTAGAGGAGCTTAGAGAAGCTCTGAAAGCTATGAAGGATGGAAAGGCAGCAGGGCCTTCTGGACTCACAAATGACATTATCAAAGCATCTGCTACTGCTGGTATCCAAACGTTACTACAACTTTGCCGTGAAATTTGGAGAAATTGTTCAATGCCGACTGAATGGAACTATAGCATGACGGTCCCGCTATACAAAGGCAAAGGTGATCCATTGAACTGTTCGTCATATCGGGGTATACGTCTGTTAGAACACTCCCTGAAAATTTTCGAAAAAATCATTGAGAGAAGATTAACGTCGTGCATCACAATCGGAAATTATCAATTTGGTTTCTTAGCGGGGAAATCAACAATTGATGCAATTCACATCCTTCGGCAACTGCAAGAGAAGTACCTCGCAAAGCATCAACAACTATCACACATTTTTGTAGACCTTGAAAAAGCATTTGATCGAGTTCCCCGTGGAGCAATTAGGTGGAGTCTACGTCGACAACTCATTCAAGAATATTTTAATCGAGTTAAGATGGAAATGTATACGAATACTAAGACTCTCGTCAGCACAACGGTTGGAAACACAGATGCATTTGACATCAGCGTTGGTGTCCACTAAGGCTCGATTCTCAGTTCACTGTCATTTATAACTGTGATGGAAGAAATCACAAAACCGATACGCACTGGTGACATTTGGAATCTAGTATGTGCTGATGATATCGTTTTAACAACCACGTCTGAGCATAATGCAGCACAGATGTTTGAAGATTGAAACACCAGACTGGCCGATCATGGATTCAAAGTCAACATCAGCAAAACCAAAAGCAATAAACACTGGTGAACCTTACCAATCCACAGCTACTGGACGATGGCCTTGTTCAATTTTGTTTGTCCTGCTTGCATCAATCTACAACAACATATTTGAAATAGCAATGTTTTTGAAGCCATTAAGGTAGAGAAAGTCACATCGTTACAATATCTAAGGGATGTTGTGGATTGTACTGGAACAGCTGAAGCTGCCGTTCGAGCACGCATACGTGCAGCCTGGAATAAATGACATCTTTTTGCTTCTATATTGATGCGGCGTGACATCCCACTACCACTACAATCAAGACCTTATAAATCTGTGGTACGTCCGGTGTTGTTATATAGTGCAGAAACATGGCCAATGACAACCAAACTGGAACAACAACTTCACCGAACCGACATGAAAATGCTTCGATGGATGCAACGAATTAGTCTGAAGGACCACATCAAATCTTCCAAAATCCTGCGTTGTGCTGGTTTAGATGATATAAAAGACGAATGCCGGCAACACCGCCTGCAGTGGTTGGATCATGTCAAACGAAGTGGGAACAGTGCCATAATTTCTCTTGCAGATGTTGAAGTACCTGGCACACGTACCAAAGGCCGTCCAAAGAAATTCAAAGATCAGATGATTGTGATTTATTAGTGCAGTCGATGAGAGCATTGAAATTAGGGTCAAGAAATCTCGTGGTTTGTAGGTTAAAAGTGTGGAATGATCTTCCGCTAACTTTGCGTGATCGCAATTTGTCGTTTTCTCATTTCAAAAGGCAGTTGAAAACATTCAATTTTCAGCAATAGGTACGAAATACGTGGAGAGCGCCTGTGAGAACCTTTTAATGAGCGCTATATAAATCATATAATAATAATAATAGTAATAATAATAATAATAATAATAATGAGAACTCTTTTATTTCAAAGCAAAGACAATAAATAAGTATGAAAATAAAATAATGAAATGTAATAAAATGTAATATAATAAAATGTCAATGATTGCCACAATGCTCATTTTTTAGAAAAAGTACATAGCGGTGAAGTATATTCAAATATATATCACGAATTGTTTCTGTCACAATATATGCCATACGATAGCTTTATAACAGTCTCTATCAATTCATCGTTGAAAGAATCCGGCCACAAAATTTTAAAAAGTGAAAGATTAAAATTATTATAAAAAGCTATTGGTGATATTTCAAAAGTATTTATAATTATTGTGCAGTGTTTATAGTTGTCTTTTAGATTACTGTGCAAATTATCTGAATATTTTTTGATCTTGTATTGCCTGGATGATTCAAGATTTGTTTCATGACAGACCGTTAACTCTAAGATCTCTACTGTGTTGCCTAGTAGGATGGCGATGTCAGGTCGTAGAGTGTTGAATAGATCTGGTATAGGGTGAACACCATCAATTTTCAAATCTGCAAACAACCGACAATAGGCAGGCGCACACAGTATCAATCGGTTGGTGATCGCGGCCAAAATTTTATTGGGTCTTTCAGTGTATCTTTTAAGTGCGGATGTGGAACCGCAGTTAGAAATCACATGTTTATTTGTTTGTTTACAACCGCAGAGAGGGCACAGAGAACTTGGAGTTTTGACCCATTTAAACAAATTGGCGTTTGTTGGCAGTTGCTGTACCAAATATTTTCTGGCAAATTTGAAGAGGACTCCAGCAAGATTCTCCAGAGT